CTCAGCAGATGGCTATGGCTGGACGGGAAGGGGAGGAGCTGGAGGGGGAGCAGGGGTCATACCGCCCAGGCGGGGGTGGGAGTGAGCCTGTCAGCTATGGGGAGGTCCTGAGGGGTTTCTGTCTTCTGGGAAGGAATCACAGAGCTCTAGGACTTGCATGAGGGGGTAGAGATCTCCCACACAGATGGGGGAACCTGAGGCTCAGAGCCATGTTAGCCCATGCTCAGGGACATCTAGATGGACAATAGCGACACTGAGCCTCGGGTGTCACAACCCAGGGTTCGCTCTCCTGGGCCAGGCTTGCCTCACCCCCCACCCCCACCCCCTTCAAGCAGCCCCACCCTGGGTCAAAATCCTGGATCCTTGGCTCCTGTTGGCTACTTCCTTACTGAATGACCTTGGCTATGTCTCCTCTTTCTCTGGACCAAAGGGCTTCCACTGACACCGAGTCTCTCAAAGTTTAGGTCAGGCACACTGACCCGGATGGTGCCCAGACCCAGCTGTGCAGCACACGGGACCTCAAGCTCATCTCAAGGAAGTTATTGCTTCAGCTGAAGTCAAGAAGGAGACAGGGCCAGCGTGAAGCTGGTATGTATTTAACACCTCTCTAACATTCGCCCATCTCCCATGATGGCAAAGAGGGAGGGGCCTCCTAGCAAGCAAGAGTATCTAAGCTAGAATTGCTTTGTTTTCATTGAATTTACTTTTATAGTTACCTTCTATTTTTTGGAAAGCCAACACATTTAGAGTACAGACACAGTTTCTTTTGTTAAAGTTTTGTAAAAGTGAGTTAATTCAAAGAAAACCACTAAGCAGATGAGGTCGGGAGATACAGCAGAAAGCGTGGAGGGGTACCAATGACTGGACATTAGGGAAATCCTGGGTGGGGCACCTCAGACTCGTGGGTCTAACAACAACCATTCTTCTAGGAAAGTGACCTAAGGTCTCAGTGCTGTTGTTCATTTTCATCTTTTTTTATTATTATTATTATTTTTGTTCATCTTTTTATTTAAAAGCGGGGAAGGTAAGAATTTCACCAGTCATTTCATGTTGGAATCAATGCTGCTGGCCAAGGAATTTTCCTCATTGAACTTCAATACCAAATGTAGTGCCTTGGCAACCTCCCCCTGCCCCCTCATGAAGGTGGGGATGGGAAGGAAACCCAGGCTGCGGTGACCCGTCTTGAGCCATTGTCAACCTCCTTCTCCTGATTCTGGGGGAGCTCTTGGAGGGGACCCTGGGACTCCCACACCCCCAGAGTCCAGACCAGCTGTCAGGAGGGTCCTCAGCAGAATGTCTGACCTCGCAGCCCTTGGGGGTGTGGGGCCAGTGAAGCCAAAGACCCGTGGGGATCCCCTTCACCCCTGGGAGAAGGGTGAGCCTCCTTGTGTGGCATCGAACAACTGAGCCACCCAGGCACCCCAAGATTTTATTTATTGATTGTGTGGCACTCAAGACTCTTTTGTGGCATCCCCAATCTGTCTTTCCACGTGCCCTGTCTACCCGGCTGGTTCCTACCCTGGCTTCAAGCCCCCTCATCACCATTTCTGGGGAGCCCCTTCTCAACCTCTCCAGTCTGAGCCAGGGCCTCCTGTGGGATCCCAGCCTCCTTATCATCCCAGCCCCAACCACCCTAGGTCATCACAGCCTGTTTGTGCACCTGTTGTCCCCAAGGACGGAAGAAGACAGTGTCTATTTTGTCTCTCTACCCCAGCACCCAACACAGGGTCTGCAGCAGGGAGATGCCTGGGAAAGCTTTGCTGCATTGAAAAGGGTACATTTTCGTGTCCCTGTGGTGACATCAGTTCCTTTCGCAGACCTGCTCTTCCTCTGTTGAGTCCCCTGCAGGGGACTGTGAAGACTAGTGCCTGTGAAGAATAGTGAGTGACAGGGGAAAGGCCAAGAGCCAACACCCAGCAGATGTGGATTCAAATCCTGTTGATCTGTTCAACTGATGTAGCTGAACTGGAGTACTGACACCTCTTAAAGGGGGATCCTAATCCCCACCACAGAAGCAGATGGGGGTGATGAATAAATGAGAAGAAGTGAGAAAAGCACCATCCACAGCTCAGGTACACACTTGCCTGTTAAATCATGGAAGTGTTAGAACTGTAGAAAGTGTAGAAAGCCCAGATGCCCAGGGCTAAATGGGAACTCATTCTGCCCGGAATGACACAGGGAGAGCCCTCTAGTTGAGGGAACTTTGAGTTGGGCTTTGAAGGGTGACTAGGAGCTCCCCACAAACAGTCAGAGTACATTGAGATGAGAGGCTGAGAGTCACTTAGGCAGAGAACTCCCAGCCTCAACGTGGAGCTACAGCAAGCAACATTTTAAGATTTTTAAAAAAGGACTTCTCTTCCCAAGCTTTGGTAAGAATTCTAATCCAGGATTTGACTAAAGGTGTAAAATGACCTGAAAAGGGTCAAGGGCCCCTTTACTGTAAGTCACCTGGTTAAAAAGTCAGATGGTTCATACCTCTGTGGCTAAGCCACCCACATAACTTTGTCCCTAAACCTGCTTCTTTTGTGTTAGAAGTGAGTTTGCTTTGAGTGAGTAGGGGAAGGAGAGGCCCCCCTGTTTCCTGGGTTCCTGGCCAATAGGCTGGGCCCATGGCCAAGCAGCCCCCTTCCCTCCCTCTCCAAGAGGCTGACTCTCATCCTGCCTGGGTTCTTCATTTCTCTCTGTAACCTTGACCCAGGGCAGAGATACCAAATTGAGAAATAAGCCCCCTTTCCTGGGCTGGGGAGGGAGAGGAGGCAGGGCCCATTTTCTAGGTCAGAACTCCTTGCCCTTGCCCTTCCTCCCCAAGCCCATGTTTTTTAAAACTAGACCTTGGGGAGAGAGGCGGGAGGGAAAGCAGAGAGTGTGGATGCTTCTGTGTGTGTGTGACCGAATGTGGATGCCTGTGTGGAGAGAGGGAGAGGGAGGGAGAGAGAACAGAGCCTGGGAGTGTGCATGTGCCTGTGGAGAGAGAGGGTGACAGAGAGAGAGAGAGAGAGAGAGAGGAACAGAGCCTGAAGTGTGTGGGGGGGGGCTGTGTGACTGCGTGACTGTGTGCTAGGAGACTGTGTGGGGTGTGTGTGTGTGTGTGTGTGTGTGTGTGTGTGTGTGGCACTCCAGCAGCAAGCTGTACCTTAAAGGCACAGACCCTGCCTCTGCCCAGCTCCCCTCCCCACCCCCACCCCCAGCCAGAGCCACCTTCCACCACCATCAGCTGGGAACCAAAGCAGCAACTCCTGCCTGAAGGGAGAGAAGCAAGCCCAGTCCTTTCCGACAACCCCCATCCCTGGCTGAGGCTTTGAGCGCTCAGAAAGGGTGGAGAAGGAAGGGGCTTTATTCCTGAGGAAAGCAGGGCCTCCCTGAGAGACGACTGGGGTCTGGGGAGGTGTGGAGGCCCATCTCTGGGGCCACACTGCTGGCTGGGGTCCCAGCTCAACATTTACCATGGGCGGGGTCAGTGGAGAGAGGCCACAACCTCCACACCTTCTTTGCAGGGCTGGGACTGCGATGCAGTGGTCTGGGGCAGACCATGAGGGCAGTGAGTGGTGGCGGGACCAACCATGGGGGTCTCTGCTGCACACACGGAGCCCGCACCTCAGGTCTGCGCTCACAGGCAGCCTTCCCGCCATCTTGGCAGGGGGCGCTGGCAGAGCACAGAGTGGGGACCTATGTTTCCCCCCAACAGCACCTTGCCCCTCCCCCCACCCTGACACCGGTTTGGGTTCCAAGGCAGCAGGTGATGGGTGGAGCATTGGGAAGCTAAGACCTAGTTTCTCACCGCCCTACCTCCGCCTGCGACTCGCTGTGTAACCCTAACAGGTTCCTCACCCTCTCTGGGCTTCCGTTGCCTGCTCTGTATAATGGGGACGCTTGGGTTCGAAGTGGGCGGGGAGAGGGTGGAAGGGTTGGGGATAGAGGGGTGTGGAGGGGGGGGGGGGGGATGCAGCTCCGTCAGCTCTTCTATTTCCGACATTCCCCTCATCTGGGTCCTAGGAAGGGCGTCATTTGATGAGAACTTACCTCACCTACATCTAAGAAGAGGATGAGAAATTACCCAACCCTGAATCCTCCCGGGCCTATCCCAGAGCCATAAAAACTATGTGCGCTGAAGCGTGCATGAAAATCTCCTGGCCTGGGGTCCCTGGGTGGCTCAGTCGGTTAAAGCCTCTGCCTTCCGCTGGGGTCATGATCCTAGGGTCCTGGAATCCAGGCCCCCATCGGGCTCTCTGCTCAGCCGGGAGCCTGCTCCCCCCCCACACTCCTGCCTGCCTCTCTGCCTACTTGTGATCTCTGTCAAATAAATAAAATCTTGAAAGAAAGAAAGAAAGGAAGGAAGGAAGGAAGGAAGGAAGGAAGGAAGGAAGGAAGGAAGAAAAGAAAAGAAAATCTCCTAGCCCAACTCCTCCTTTGCACAGTCGGGGAAACTGAGGCTAAGAGGGAGAGAGCAGAGGAAGTTATATGCACCAGATGTACAGGGATGGGAAGCCGAGGCCAGGACGGGGCCCTAACTTGAAGCTCCGAGGCAGAGCCTGAATCGTCAAGGGAGCAGCGGGAGCAGAGAGGTAGGGAGGAGGAGGAGAAGCCCAGGGCGCGCCCCTCCAGCCGCGGCCCCCGTGGGCCCCTTCCGGCCCCTCCCCCAGCCGGCGCACCGTCCCGCCACCTGCTCCCCCGCCCACGGGGGCGGGACTGCCGCCCCCCCCCCCCCCCCCCCCCTGGCAACGCCCGGCCCGGGCCGGCCGCCCTGGCCTCCCTGCCGCCGTACAGCCCATCTGGCCCCAAGCCCGCCCCAGCTGGGCCGCCCGACGCCCTGGTCGCCGGGGGCCCTCACAGCCCCACAGAGGTCTGAGACTAGGGCAGAAGCGCCAGGCGTCAGGCGTCTACCCATGCCAGCACCTGGGCTAGCCGCTGGGTTCATCCTGATGGGGCTGAAGCCGCCCTAGAAGGACCATCCAGGATGTGCCACACAAACCCCATCCCCCCCCCCCCCCCCCCCCCCCCCCCGAAGGTGCACCCAATACAGCAGCAGGCGGCATCTCAGGATTAGAGGCCAGCTTTCTGGAGCCAGCCACTGTGGTTGCAGATCCCCAGGTAGTGTGGGGCAATTTACTTAACCTTTTACCCACCTGAAATTGGAGATGATCATAGAACCTGTCTCATAGGGTGCTTGTGAAGGTTAAGTGGGTCAATATAGAAAAATACATGGAGTCAACACTCAATAAATATCAGCTATTATTATGAGTGCAGGTGGCAGGTGCTGCAAGAGAGCCTTGGCAGCCCCAGCAGGGGTCCTGACCCAGCCTGGGTGCAGCAGGGGTGGCTTCCTGCAGGAGGCGGTGCTGCTGGAATCTGAGGAAGTAGCTGTTAGCCAGGAAACCCAAGGGAAGAGGGAACAGCAGCAGTGAAGACATAGACATAGACGTGAAAAAATAACGCAGGGGAGGGGAGGGGTGGGTGTAACGGAGACTTTCAAAGCCCCTTAGTGTTCCTGGAGAGTAGAGAAAAACTTGGCTTTTAGTCAAAGGGCACTGAGACAGGAGTCGCTGTAGAGTTGTGAACAGAGGCATGACCTGTTGTCCCTTGTTTTCTAGAGATCATTCTAGATGCCATATATGCAGTGGCTTGGAGGAGCCGGTGGTCTTTTTGGGAGATGCTGAAGCCTGAACCCGAATGAGGGGAGATGCAAGGTCAATGGGAGATGGGGACAGATTCATGGCTATTAAGGAAGTAGACCCGGCAGAAAGGTGACCTATGGGCTGGAAGTAGCTGGAGGGGGAGCTGAGGATGGGCACACTCAGACTTGAGCACTGAGAGTGTGGCAGGGCCAGAAGAGGGGCAAGTCTGGGGATGGGAGGTGCTCCTCAGCTTGAGAACACTTGAGTTTGGAGCCAAGAGACCTGGAGACCTGGGCTGGAGAGATCGCCCTGGGGACATGGATGACTGGAGGTTAACAGATCTTGCCAGGGTCTGAGAACTGCCCCAGAGTCAGCAGAGGGTGGGGACCTCACCAGACCAGAGAAGAGGATTTATGCTTCACAATTGGATTCTAAGCTTTGTTTTCCTGGAACCAAGTAGAATATGTCCAAATGACTTCTGACCCAAATTGTCTTTGGGCCTTTATCACTGAGGTTTTGGAGTTTGGGGATGAGGGACAGGCAGGAGAGTGCAAGTGCTGACCAGTCCTAGCTCTGTCCATTGCCAGCTGGGAGGGCTTAGGCAAGTCTTCGTTTTGTTTTGTTTTATTTTGTTTTTTAAAGATTTTATTTATTTATTTGACAGGCAGAGATCTCAAGTAGGCAGAGAGGCAGGCAGAGAGAGAGGAGGAAGCAGGCTCCCCGCTGAGCCCGATGCGGGGCTGTTCCCAGGACCCTGGGATCATGACCTGAGCTAAACCCACTGAGCCACCCAGGCACCCCTTGTTTTTTTTTTTAAGATTTTATTTATTTATTTTGACAAAGAGAGAGACACAGCAAGAGAGGAACTTCAGCAGAGAGGGACGGGAGAGGGAGAAGCAGGCTTCCTGCTGAGCAGGGAGCCCAATGCAGGGCTCAATCCCAGGACCCTGGGACCGTGACCTGAGCTGAAGGCAGATGCTTAACCCACTGAGCCACCCAGGCGCCCCCTTTAGCAAGTCTTCTCACCTTGCCTCAGTTTCCTCCCAGCTACCTACCTTGTAGGGTTATTGTAAGAATTAAATAGGGGTCACCTAGCTGGCTCAGTCAGTGGAGCATGCAAATCTTGATCTCGGGGCTATGTGTTCAAGCCCCACGTGGCATGCGGAAATTACTTAAAAAACAGAATCTTAAGGGGCACCTGGGTGGCTCATTCAGTTAAGCGTCTGCCTTCAGCTCAGGTCACAGTCCTGGGGTCCTGAGATCAAGTCCTGAGTTGGGCTCCCTGCTCAGCAGGGAATCTGCTGCTCCTTCTACCCCTCCCACTCTTCGTGCTCTTTCTCACTCTCTCTTTCTCTCAAATAAATAAATAAAATCTTTAAAAAAAATAAATAAAATTAAAATCTTAAACAATAAGAATTAAATTAAAAGTAAAAGGTATTAAATGGGGAATGGGGTGCTGGGCACAAAGCTCCCTACATGGTCTCTGGCCATCCTTACTAAATATGCAAATTCTAGAATCTTCTCCAAAGCCCAAGAATATGAATTTCCATGGGTGGGTCTGAGAATCTGCAGGTAAAATTGGCCCATCATTGAACTAAAGCCTCCAACTACTGTGCTGGGACTCCTCTGACCCTGGTCCTTCCATGGGGTGGCCCACCCCTCATATTTGCACCCTGGGGCAAGAGTTCAAATGGCAATCCCCTTGCCAGGTTCTTCCTTCTCTCCAGAAGTCCTTATGTGCAGGCCCCATGTCCAAGCTCCTTCCTTGTCCATCCTGCAGGCCTAAGGTTGCAGCAGAGCCCCCAGAGAATAGACCCAGGTCTTGGGAGTGGTCTCAGAGCCCTTTGGGCAGGGAATTCCAGATACCAGGCTCTTGGAGTAGAATCAAGAATGATAAACTTGGGGGGCGCCTGGGTGGCTCAGTGGGTTAAAGCCTCTGCCTTTGGCTCAGGTCATGATCTCAGGGTCCTGGGATCGAGCCCCGCATCGGGCTCTCTTCTCAGTGGCAAGCCTGCTTCCTCCTCTCTCCCTCTCTGCCTGCCTCTCTGCCTACTTGTGATCTCTGTCTGTCAAATACATAAATAAAATCTTTAAAAAAAAAAAAAAGAATGATAAACTTGGGCTCCAGGTGGTTGTCCCCTTGGCCCTGTGTATCCCACACCTGGGAGGAGGGGTGGGACTGGAGGCAGGCATAGGGGAACCCGAGATAACAGAGCCAGAGCAGAGGTCTGGCTGCCCAGGTCTGTGGGCTCCCCTGCTTCTGTTTTCAGCCTTTGCCACCAGGCCCTCTGGCCAGCCTGTCACTTCCCGGCAGCCACACCATGGAGCCTGCAGCCTCCATCTGCCTGCTCCCTGCCTGACCCTGGCCAAGGTCACCTCAGACTCTGCTGGACCTGAGAAGTATGGGGTTCTGGGGCCCCCATACAGCTACTTTGTGGGCCATCACAGTCCATCCATGCCCGTCCCTGGCTTGACATGACAGGTTACATCATTCTTTTTCTTTTTTTAAAGATTTTATTTATTTATTTGAGAGGGAGAGAGAGAGAGATAAAGCATGAGCAGGGGGAAGGGCAGAAGGAGGAGCAGACTTCCCTCTGAGCAGGGAGCCCCTCCTGGGCCTTGCAAGGGCCTTGATCCCAGGACCCTGAGATCATAACCAGAGCCGAAGGCAGATGCTTAACCCACTGAGCCACCCAGGCGCCCCTACATTATTCTTTAAAACGAGGACACTGAGGCTCAAGGCAAAGGAGGAGTCAGTATTAAGAGCACTGCTGAAAGACAAGGGCTGAGGTGATGCTTTAAAAGACATGACGAAAGCGCCTGGGTGCCTCAGTCCTTGGGCATCTGCCTCCCGTTCAGGTCATGATCCTGGGGTCCTGGGGTGGAGCCCCACATCAGGCTGCCTGCTCCGCGGGAAGCCTGCTTCTCCCTCTCCCACTCCCTCTCTCTCCTGTATTCCCTCTCTCGCTGTGTCTCTCTCTGTCGAATAAATAAATAAAACCTTTAAAAAATGAAAATAAAAATATAAAGACATGATCACTTAACACTCCTGTCAGAATGATCCCCCATTTACGAGTGAGGACAGGGACCGGGTGGCTCAAGAAGGAGAGGTCACTGGCTCCAGGATCGCCCAGCTGGTGGGAGGCAAAGTCAGAATTCAAATATAGGCTGGTCAGACCCCCAAGCCCAGACCCCAGGGATGCGTAGTAGGCCTTCAGTAAGGCCTGCCAAGAGTTGCTGAGGATGGTTGGAAACCTGGACAAGCCACCTCCTGGGAGGGAATGTGAGGAATGTCGTCTCCACCCCGCCCCCCCCAGGGCAGGGCTGTGGGCAAGGTGACCTTTGGGAAGATAAAGTCAAATTCCAGTCCTTGATGCCTAGCAGAGGTAGACCTGGGGTGGTACTGCCAGGGACCAGAACCAGTTGCGTCGGGTTCCCCCACCCCCTTCCTGAGCCCTGAGTCACAACTGAGCCCTGTGGTGGGGTATGCGAGGGGAGCCACTGGTCCATATCAGCCCCTTCTCTTCTCCCCACTGGAATCTGCCAGTGGCACCTTAGCCATGATGCCACCTGGACATTTCTATTAGGAGGGCCCTGAGAGTCTCAGCCATAACTATCAGTAACTAAACTCACCATGCTCCCTCTCTCCCACCATCCTCCCTGGGGCTGCCACCTCCATGCCCCGACTTGATTGCTCAGATGGCAGGGGGTTAGCCTTGCCTCTTCCTTCCTCCTCTTAACTCCATCCAGACTCAATCTCCTGAGTCTCCACCTTCTCGCCCTGGTGCGCCCCCCCCCCCACCCCTCCAGCCTCAGACCCTCCCACCCCATCTCCCCAGCGCACAGCCAGGTTAAGTTGCCAGATGTGGCAAATAAAAAATACAGGACTCTCCATTGAATTTGAATTTCAGATAAGCAATGGATAATTTTTTTTAAAGATTTTATTTATTTATCTGAGAGAGAGAGAGCACAAGCAGCGGGAGCAGCAGGCAGAGGGAGAGGGAGAAGCAACTCCCTGCTGAGCAGGGAGCCCAATGAGATTCAGGGCTGGATCCCAGAACCCCAGGATCATGACTGGAGCCAAAGGCAGACGCTTACCAGACTGAGCCAACCAGGTGCCCCAACAATGAATCATTTTTTTAGTACAAGTATATCCTAAATGTTACATGGGACATACTTATGCTAAATAATTTTTCTTTGTTTATCTGAAACTTAAATTTACTGGACATCTTGTATTTTACCTGGCAACTCTAAGCTGGTAATTCCCTCCAGTGGTTCCGTGAGGGGCAGAGAATGGAGAACAACACTCCAGCTCTTGGAGCACTCCTTCTCTGCCTGTTACCAGTGACCATTCCATTCTCAGAAACCACCTCGTCCAGGAAGCCTTCTGGGTGAGGGGCTGCTCTGTGTCATGAGAGGCCACCATACTTCCCTTATGGGAACCCCAAAGGCCCTGCTGGGCTCCATCAGTAAGAGCTCCATGAGACCAGCATCTTGTCATTTTTGTGCTCTGTGTCCCCTAGCGCCTAGCACCTTGCATGGCACCTGGAATGACTTGCTGTGGAACCCTGAGTGAGCCCATTGCCTCCTCCAGGTCACAGCCTCCAACGGTACGAGAAAGGGCCATAGGAAATGGTCTCTGAGTCTGCTTCTGGCTCTGATGTCTGCCCATTTCAGCCTGACACTGCCCTCTGATGCTGGAGATCCTGGGCAGGGTGGCACAGGCAAGAACTTGGAGCTCCACTTGGAAGACTGAGGACATGTCCTGAGCTCTGCCCCTATGCAGCCCCAGAAAAGTTCCCTACCCTCCCTCAGCCCAGCCTTTCTCTTCCGCCAGGTTCTGGACAAGTGGGGATGACAGGGTCTGCTGTAAGGACCTGAGCAGGTTGGGAAGGCTTCGGTGAAGTAAGTCAGGAAGGTAAGCGACACAGCACAGCACACAGGAGGCCCTCCAAAACACAAGATTCCTGCCTGCTCTTCCCACTCAACTGGAAGGCTGCATGGCCCTGGGGGGGGGGGTGCTCAGGCAGTGGGGGCTGTAAGAGCTCCAGGGGGA